AAAAAAAAAAAAAAAAAAAAAGAGACTGTAAAACGTCATGAGCGATGTCTCCTTAGATTGTAGATTGTCATCGAAATCGGTAGAGGCTGCCCCAGAGATTTGAGCCGTTGTAAGGCGTATCAAATCAGCCCGAGTTTTGTCTGACAAAAACAGTCTTGAAACCTGCTTCAGCTCACGAGAGGTTAGCCTGCTAAATATCTCAGACATCAACCGTTTTTAGTTCATACCGGAGATGGTGCTGCTATAAAGAAACGTTAACGTTGCTAATAATTTCCCGAAAGTACAATAAAACTATTATAGCAGAACAACTCCGAGCTGAAAAGTTTGAGGGGGTTACTGAGTTTTTTCCTTGTCTAGGGTTGCATGTACTCTTGTCTCGCTCGTGCACAAGTGGATAATTGTAATTGCACCGAAATGAAATTCCCTTCTGGAAAAGGAATCTGTTCCACGACTTCTGAAGGTAAGATTCCTTATCACAGAAATGAAAATTTCTCTGGAAACCTATACATTAATTTCCACAAGTTATTGATTTTGCATCCAGAGTCATCACGTTTATAGATCTAGAAAATTTTAGTTGCTTCGCGGTGTGATAAAGTAACTTGTAAACGTTGGTTACTGGATCATGATAATAAGACAGTCGTTGCCGACTTCGAATTTGTACTTGGCGGAGATACCCATTACGGTTCAAGTGTAATGTGATTGATTCAGTTCTTACCATCCTCTCACACTTTCTTTTTGCCAGTGAGATGCATTCAGGAGATGCAACGCAGATATGATGACGATGATGGACTTGGTTGCTCTGCAAAATGCCCTCAACCTTGCTCGTACGTATTTTGTTCACTCTAACTGTATATGCTTTCATGCATGCCAACACCTTGCCTAAACCATACAATATAATTGTACACAATTTTATAATTTTTTAATGTGCATGACTGAATCGAGTCACTTCAGTCACCTGGTGAAAAGAAGAACTAGACTTACGGCACTACAAAGGCGCCCTACACTACGTAGCCTCTTCCAGGCGTTCAGTTAGTAGGGGCGCAGCGTGAAAAATGGCGCACAAGAATATATGCTCCTCGCACCGTCTCTCTCTCCTTTATTTCGCTGCGCCGTTTCTTCGCGCTTGGCCCCAACTAACTGAACACCTGGAAAAGGCTATACTCAACGCATGCGGTGTATCTCACATTGAGGAACGAGCCTTGGAGCATTGCATAGCAACACAAACGTCGAACCTTAATTATTGCGCGTTTCCTCATAGACTCGGCTCTCGTATCCTACGCACCCTTGTCGACGTTAGTGAGAGGGAGGAGATGTATCGAGTCATATTTCACGTATTACTGGCTTGAAAATCCAATATTTCACTTGGCAGTGCCTTGATGTCGTATTAGAATCATGTAGTCAGTCTCACTCGAAAACGTATCAGGATGATAGAATGTTATTTGTTTCTTCCCTTTTTTCCTCTATTCATTTCCCCTATAATTCTTTAACAGTCAGGTAACCTACAGGATGTCATCTTCCAGTTCTGCTTGGTCACGTGGATANGCAGCGTGAAAAATGGCGCACAAGAATATATGCTCCTCGCACCGTCTCTCTCTCCTTTATTTCGCTGCGCCGTTTCTTCGCGCTTGGCCCCAACTAACTGAACGCCTGGAAAAGGCTATAAGCTACGCATGCGGTGTATCTCACATTGAGGAACGAGCCTTGGAGTCGAACGTCGAACCTTAATTATTGCGCGTTTCCTCATAGACTCGGCTCTCGTATCTTACGCACCCTTGTCGACGTTGGTGAGAGAGAGGAGATGTATCGAGTCATATTTCACGTATTACTGGCTTGAAAATCCAATATTTCACTTGGTCGTGCCTTGATGTCGTATTAGAATCATGTTGTCAGTCTCACTCGAAAACGTATCAGGATGATAGAATGTTACTTGTCTCTTCCCTTTTCTCCTCTATTCATTTCCCTATAATTCTTTAACAGTCAGGTAACCTACAGGATGTCATCTTCCAGTTCTGCTTGGTCACGTGGATACGAGGTGAGACAGTTCTTCTTACAAAGCTAGTTAAAATTCACCAAAGCGAGACAAAGTGATTAGGGTTTAGTTATATCAACGCTTTTAAATTATCCATTTTTGACTAGCGCTTGCTAGCTGAGATTCTTTAATATGATTTGTTTGCTTCAGGTGATACGTTATGGCCATTTTGAATTAAAATTGTTTCAGTTGTTTGCTCGGCCCCGATAGCCTTTATATTATAAACACTGCCCAGGGTAAATAAAGGTTATTATTGTTATCATCATCATCATCATCACTATTTGTTGGCCCTCAAAAGGCCATTGGGGAGCAATCAGTTAGGACGTTTTTTTAAATTTAAACAACCATAAGAACGGATCCTGATTTGCTAAAATACGAGTAAAGTTTTGTCGTGTTTATATGATAAGAAATGCTGCCTATCTATAAATAATCTTTAGAGTAATGTCCTTATACTCTCCAGAGACTATTACGATCAATCATGCTTAAAGATAACGATTCTGACATTCATGAGATGGGAAAAAACGAGGATGCATTCAGGTGAGGATCACAATAATAATAATAAATACACCAATTACATTGTAACAAGGTAAATTATTACACTTCATACTTTCTTCTTATGTGTATAGCAGTGTTTCATTTCCAAGTAACTAACGGTGTATTCCTGGTGCGGACTTAACAGTCATTAAAACAATGAGTATTCTCGTCAGGTCGTTCAGTGCTTACGATAGAGCACGACTAATAAAACTGCCGCTTATAAGCCCTGGGCTTATTGAACTTCGTAAACGCTTTTAGAAGGGATAAAAAAAAACGTGGCCTTTATCCGGGTGGCCTTTATCCGAGGGGGTTATAACCGGAATAAAAAGGCCGTTTCGAAACGAACTATAGCTGCACATGTTGATCGAAATAGTTTTTTTTCTTTAAAACATTAAATAATTAAACGAATTCAAAACAAGGAAAGCTAGAGGGGGGCTTATGTCCGGGGAGGCTTATAACTGGATGTCTTTTTTGGTGTACAGGTAGATGGACCTATAGCCAGGGTGCCTTAATTATATGCGGGGGGG